ATAAGAAATTTTTTAATAATTTGTAATGAATAATAATATTTTTCTTTATTTTTTACCATATTTTCAATAAATAAAATATAACATTCAATAATTTAATTTCAATTCACATTTAAGACATTCAATTTTTTTATTTAGTGATATAAGCCTCCTTGTATAAGATTTATTTTCGAGTCTATATATAAATAATTTAAAATTATTTATAATTAATGTTGATATCTTACATATGATTATCACCGCAGTAATTACATTATTCCTTTCCTTAAATTTGCGTTACATATACAACATGTATTTTGCCATGATTAGGCACATTTTTATTTAATCGAACTCTATTTATAATATCGGTATTATGTTTAATATACGCTTAGATGCAATGACATCCGATTACATTATCTGAAATTCAATTTGTAAAGAAATCATATAATTTATAGAATAATTTAATACGTTTCGGAAATAATACTTTATCAGGTATATTATATCTGTGCAATTATTTGTAATCTTTTCTTAAAATTACATGACCCATAATATGTATTTGGATAAAAAGTCTCATTAGGTATAAAATGACTAAAACAAGTTTTGTAAGTAAAACATGATTTACAATTTTTAAAAATACCATAGCGATTTGTAATAATAAAAAGTAAAAAACTTTTAAAACATGACATAAAAAATCTTTAATTTTTAAACTATTTTAATATTATCTTTTTTTATATAATAAATATTTTTCTTAGACAATGGATATTTGGAAGAAAAAACAATGAGACGCATTAAATTTATTTTATTTATTATTGATTATCATGAATAACTAAAAAGAAAAAAAATGTTGATAATTTGCAGGTATTTGAATTTAAAACAATGCTTATAAAGTACCTTTTTAACATATTTTTTGCGCAGTTAACCGTTTACAAAATTTGGTTAACTGATAATATTTTTTCTTCTTTTCCTTCTTTAGTATAATTTATGCATATATGCATAAATATATATACGTAATAGTTACTTTTAACTTCTTAAAATTTTTACCTTGATTTAAAAAAATATTATATAACATTAGAGCATGCTTTACATGTGTTGTTAAAGCATGCTTTACATGTTCATTAATAATAAAAATTACTATTATTTCTAATGGTTTGAGAGAGTTACAAAATATGTCATTTTATTTCAATCTACTGTAGTCAAACACATGCTTAAATAGATAAATATCACGGAAAATTTCTAGATGAAATTCTAGTAACTTGAAAGATCTGCATTTTTTGTAGAAAGAAAGACTAATTTGCTTTTTTCCATTACATTATTTTAAGTGGCAACAAAAAAATGATGATGCAGTTTATATTTTAATAGAGGAAATTTTTAAAAATGTTGCTGTATGAAAAAATTAATAAAATATACTATGCATAGAGGATTTGCTTCATTTCTTGTTTTAACGTTGGTAAGCCGTCTATCGATTCTCCCCACGCACACATCTCCTCTTCAGTCATCGATTGCACTTTTTGCACCTGCCATTTTTTTTCCAGAGTAATGGGAGCCTCATCTGAAACCACTGGCACGAGGGTGCATTAAAACAGGCTACCCTAACCTGCGAAGCCACCCTCACCCTCTTCGTCTCGATGAATCTTCCATAATTCAATATTTTTAAAAAATCTTAAAGTGTCTTCTGGAAGGAAAAAAAAGACAGAGAAGGATACATTCGAGAAGTCAAAGTGTGTGACGAAGAAAGAACAGCGGTGCCGTCAGTAAGAAGGAAAAAGAGGAACAAGGATAGAAATAGAAGAAGGTGAAAGTAAAAGAGAGACGGACAGAGGGTGGGTGGTGGGGGGTTCTCAGCTTAAGAGAGAGAGAGAGAGACAGAGGAGGTCGAAGGGAGTCGAGCGAGGAGAATGACGGATAGTCAGCAGCAGTTTTGCTTGCGTTGGAACAACTTTCAAGCTAACATCACCAGCCAATTCGAGGCCCTCAGAGATGACGAGGACTTCGTCGATGTCACCTTCGCCTGCGGTGGTAGGCGTCTCCAGGCTCACAAGGTTGTCCTCTCCGCGTGCAGCCCTTACTTCAAGGAGTTGTTCAAGGTTAGAAAACCTTCCCCGCCTTGCTTCTCTCTTCAGTACTACTTGCTTGATATCCCCCCTCCCCTACCCCTCACCTGTGCATTCTTACCTTCTTTGAGAATCATGCTTCGGTTTCGATACGATGAAATTAAAGTACTTACTCAAAATTCTCATGTATATGTGTATGTATGTGTGACTTGGTATGTGTATACGTAACATTTCGTGCAGTAGTCTCATACATGTTTTGCATAAGTTACGTGGTTTTGCACATTACTTACTTGATAATAATTAAGATTTGTTTTGACTGATATCATTCTAGTACATTATTAGCACATTATTTATATATATGCTCTAATAATTCAAGGGATACCAAAAACAATTATGAAATATAAACCACCAAAATATAATTGCTGAGATGATCTTTAATTTATATACAACATATGCCTTTGATGCATATAAATGCATTTGTAATACTTAAGGAATATCTTTTCCTTGAAATGAAACTTGAAACATAGCATTCGAATTACTTGTAAACATATTAAGCATGTTTATGCAAATTTACAATTTTACATTTATATAAATTTACATTAATTGGACTATTGCCTCTTTTATCAATGATTTTAATACATTTAAAATATATAAAAAGTAAATTTTGTAACATTTTAGTGTGTCTTTTATTTAATTGTACTTTTGTACTCGCAGTATGTTACACGTTGAGCTTTTTAACTTCGTAGCCTACACATATTGTAAAACCATATTCACTATTAAATTATAAACTAAGGAAAATAACAATGTGTTTAATTTTTCTTATTTTATATTCTATTTTGAAATATATTAGATTTTAGTACTTTACATACATAAGTGTATATGTACACATATATTACTTATAGAATTGAAGCGCATAAGAATCGAAGAGTTTATGACAGTTGATTTAATCAATACATACATTTTTAAAAAATAAAATAACAAGTATTGATTACTAAATTGCAGAGTACAATGAATAAATATCATTTATTTCATTGTTAATCTTACTGAAAGAAATGATAAATAAAAAATAAGTCACCTTTATAGTACAACATATGGAGATGTTATTATTTCATTTACATTTCCATAGAATCGAAATAACGTATGCTCTATGAGTTATAAGTTAAAGTATTATAGAATTGACTACTGTGTATAAATAATTGTTTGATGTTCTTAATTAATTCTTTCAGTTGGGATAATAATACATTTATGCAAACAATTGTGGTTTAAATATAAAAATTTAATACATGTGATTCTTAGTTACTAATTATATTGTAAATTCTATAGTTATTATTTTAGTATTATTAACTTTCAATAATTACAATAATTAGATATGTACACATATCTGTAGTTTTTGATAGTTTTGATTATTTACTAATTACTAATTAATTCTAATTAAGAAAGGAAAGATGAAATATTCTCACAAAAACATTACGTTATATGTGGAAGTAACGATTCAGTGAGATAGTAAGCTCAATACAAATAGAAACAGAAGTACCATTTATAAACTTAAGATTGGTTTTAATATTTCACAAATCTGCAGAATTAGTTTAAATTACTAATTTGATATAGTATCTGGCAAATTGTAAAGTCAAACTACACTTGACCCTTGATTTACACAGACCTTTTTTACGCGGTAAATTAGAACACTATGCAGTAGTTTTTATATGCGATCTAAATTTAGTAACACCAAATAAAATGTTCTTTTGTTCTCTGTAGTATCATTATTATTATTTCTTTTGTTTGGCTGTGTCAAGTAAATATATATTTCTAAAACTTATACTAGCTTACTTTTCCAATATCTTATTTTCTCTTGTACCGACAAACTCTATTTATGCAATTTTCATTTGTGTAAAACGAATCTACATAGAACGGATTTTTACACAAACTGAGGGTCAGGTGTGTATAAACTGATATATCATAATGAAAGCAATAAGAACCGATATCCTACATATCTTAAAAGTAATTATTCAAAAAATATAGAGTTTTAATTTATACACTTTACTACCATTATAGGTATGGCATGGAAAATATACAAAGAAAAACTCCTTTCTATAACTTTATTAGATGAGACTTACCGCCTGTAATAAAATTTCATGAACATTTTGAACTCTACAGAAAACAAGCTTCGTTTTTAATTGAAATTTACCTTGAACAATGTTAATGACATTGGGGTGTCTCATTTACTACTGAGTGTAGTTATCAAAAAATGTAGGTTTATACTAAAAAGAAATTCTTCTGCTTTCATGACAAAAGAAAGGCATTTCGTAAGCATTATAAAACATGGCTGAAATAAAATATTACTCACAAGTATAGAAATATGAATTTAGAAATAACGTTCTTTTGCAAATAAAAGGTATTTAATACTGTGTTTTATATTTAAAACATTTGTTTTGCTGATTTCAAATTTTACAGTATCATACAAGTTAATAAACCCAAAGAATGAATAAACACTGAAATTTCAAGCATTATATTACTTTTTTAAAGAAAATTTCCATTGAAACAAATTGATTCTGAGATAGTTCGGTATGTTCTGCATTTCCATAAAGTATTATTAAAATCAAAGTTGCTGTGCAAATAGAGAGAATATTTCTGAATAATGAATGTTAATAGATAGTTAAACAATTTTAAACAGTTTTTCTAGATCACAAAAAATTAATTATATTTAAGTGTATTTAATTTCTAAAGATTAGAATTTTTTATTTATCTTTCATGAAAGATGTGGATATTAGCTTTAGTTTTTCAAATTGAATTCTTATTTCCCCTTTTTAAGTTTCATTAGTACAGTGTAAAATCAATAGAATAAATCTGTATACTATAGTACAATTCTCAAACTTCTATGGTACAATAATTATAATTCCTTTCTTATATTTATATATACATATGAATTATGTTTGCAGACAAATCCATGCGAGCATCCAATAATATTTATGCGAGATGTAGAGTTTGAACATCTACAATCACTTTTGGAGTTTATGTATGCTGGGGAAGTTAACATATCTCAAGCTGAATTGCCTACATTTCTACGAACTGCTGAGTCTCTGCAAATCCGTGGCCTCACCGACTCTCAAAATATTCAGCACAACAACGAAAAGGTTTGTACTTGAAACTGTTATAAAATGCTTTCGTTTCATATCAGTTGAAGTTCAAGTATCCTGAAAGTTTCTGATTAATAGTAAGTACTATTTATTTAAATAATAAAAGTTAATTGATAAAATGAAACATGTACAAAATGTTTATTATAGAATATTAAAAAAATTGTACTGTAATTTAATAATTTCAGCATTTGAAAACCAACAACATACATACATCAAATGGCCGTGGGCTGATCTCACCAAGTTTGGAGGAGGACCGTAGTAAAACTCCACCAGCCTCAAGTCCTCCACCATTGAAAAGGCTGTGCAAACGAAGTGATTCGCCTCAGATATCTAGTCCAGTACCAGCTGCAGTGGCCTGTGCTCCTGGAACGCCACGCACACGGCCATTAATTGAGCCGCAAGTTCAACTCGACTGCTACAAAGATCTCGATATAGTTGAGGTTAGCTTTTTTTTAGTCAGTTTGTATTAACAGCATACAACATTAATAATTTTTTGATATATTACATTATGCTGTTTTGTATTAATTTTTCTAAAATTCATAAGATCACAACGACCTTCGAAATCATGTAATTTTTTAAATTCATTTGCTCCGAAAATAATGATGCAATGTAAATAATTCGTTAAAGAAAAGTCTTTATTTATGTAAAAAAAAGGATTAGAGTTTATACAGAAAACTACAACTCTTAACTAAGAACAAAGAAGCAAATATTTACAATAATTGTTTGTATTATAGCCAAAAATAGAATTACCAGAATATGGAAGCGACGATGATTGCTCTCCAAAGCAGGAGGTTAACACACTGCCAAGTGGTTTCCTTAGCCTTGATGGCGGCATGGAGGTTTTACCATCATATCCGACTTCTTATCAAGGTAATTGTAAATGTTTTCTGTCATTTTTGTGTATTTACAATAATTCAAAATATTTATTTTATGAATGGAAAAAAATAGAAGTAAACATTATGAGAGAGATCGTTTGCAATTAAAAAATGTTTTGCAGAAGGAGGAGCAGGGGGAGGAGGAGGCGGTGGAGGCGGGGGTGGTGGATCATTGGAAGGAGGACTGCCAGGACCATCTCATGCCAGCAATATGGAGCTAAATCAAGAGCAACAAGGTAAGTGACCACCCATCCCAACCCTAATTCTTTGGTAGTTGCGAGCACCATTACAAACAGCAACAACCTAGCCGATCATGTCGGAGAGAATTTTTTGGATGCGAGTAGAAACATGGAAGGAGAAGGGGAACCTCGGTTTGAAATGGTAAGCTCGTGTAGCTCGGTAGCTCTTGCTAGGCGGTAGGAGAGAGAAAGTGAGAGAAAAAGCGAGTGAGGGAGAGATAGTGTGAGAGAGAGAGAGGGAGGAAAAGGAGGAAAGAGAGAGACATTTGACACTCGGAGGCGATCTTTTGACAATATTATCCAGGCGGAGTGCAGTTTGCGGCTGTATGTGTGAGAAAGTCAGCTGCGTGTACATACTACGGGCTCTACCTGTCCATTTTGTTTGCCAGAGTTGGAGGGTATAGTTAAGAATTATAGTTTAATAATAAGAGTTAATTAGTTTGATTAAGCTTTTGTACACTTTAAAATTTATGAAAAGATAGTTTATTGTAATTTGAATTATGTTTAACGCTGGTTTTAGAAGAAGTACATACTTATTTATTTTAAAATGAAGATAATAGAAAATTTCTATGAATGTAGTAAAAATTTAAATAGAAATTTTGCAAAGTCAAAAGATGACCATATTACAGAAACATGAAAGAAATTAACAGTTTGAAATACATTTTAAAACATGGGGAGTAAATTCCCTCCGTCTGGTAAACCTTTCCGTTGCTTCCATGTTTTCCGTTTTTGTCCGTTAGAAGACACGCCAATTAGGGTTTGATCAGTTTCAATTATTAATATTTATTTATGTAATAAAGTTTTCGAAATTGGATAAATATAAAATTAATGTTTACTTGTTAATGTTGATTGTCACTGTATTTCTGGTGTCCATAAATTCTTATGTTTTATCTAATTGGCGTGGTTTGTCCTATGTATCCATGTATATCTCATGGCAGAACACCCTATTTTGACAGATATACAAGAAACAAAAGCTTGATGCTCTAATATACTTAAGCTTTTCGGTCAAGGTCTGTGTTTTATCATTGTGTTGTAATTAAAAAAATTAATATCATTGGCTTTACTAATTGTATTATAATTCATTATAGATATTTAAAAATATAAATTACAAATTTATAAAACTAAACTGCTTAGAATTGGTAATGTAATGTAAACTTTTAACATATAAAACTATAATTTTATACATATTTATTCAAAATCTATTAGTTTTCACTTTAAATTACAATCTTAAAATACAGGAAATCCATATTTACAATTTTAAGTAATTTTTTCTTCTATTATGAAATTTAATTATTATTATTGTTACTATTATCTTCATCATAATCAGTTTCCAATAATGTAACTCATGGTGCATAAGTAAAAGTAAACAAATTACATTAAAACAAATATATTTATTTGAAATTGTTGTTTAGCAATATTGTAATAATAATTTTAATGATTATTAAAATATCATAGTATCAAGACATCAAGTATTAAGCAGAATTATTCAATGCAAAAGGGTGTTATTGTCGAAGAACAGTTGTTGAAATGTTGGAGGATACTGCGCGAACTCTCACGCCTCATATACCCAATAACAACACGCTTACCATTTGTCTCCGATGTGTGTACGTTGGTGATGCGCGACATCGTAGTGCGCACGATAGGTAGCAATGGGATCACCAATACTATTTCTCTAACCTTAAATATATTATTGTTTTAAAAAATGATGAAAAGTTAAGATAACTCTTTGATCATAGTATTAAAATATTTTTATAATAAATTATTATACTTCGCACAATTTAAATAATTCTTCATATTGGAATTGTAATCAATTTTTTTTAACTATTATAAACAAAATTTGAGTAATTAATGTTCAATAAGATTTAGTTACTACTACCTAGAAAGAATGCATAAATTAAAAATCTCATTAGAAGGGATTACAATGAACTCTAAATTTCTACTACATAAAAGTGAATAAATTATATAATTCTTTTCAATTATTAATAATTATAATGTAATGAAACTATAAAAGATCCCACTGCTAAACTAGATAGAGCGTACAACAATCGTGCAGCTAGGGTTTCTCAGCTGGTTGTTGCTGTCCGGTGGTGGCTGGCAAATCGGAGACCCCACCCAAAAATCCACTCAACAAAACAAAACAAAGAAAAAAAGAACAATTTCCTTCTCCGTGCTGCCTCTACCGGGTTAGAGCAAGTTGTGTGTGTGTTGCAGCTGACCTACGCAAACTGCACTCGCTGGACCCACGCCCCTGTCCTGTCTGCAACCGCATGTACAGTAACTTGTCGAACCTGCGTCAGCACATGCGCCTGATCCACAACCCCCAGAGTGTCACATGCCCCCTTTGTAACAAGCCATTCAAGACTAAGCTCTACCTGAAACGCCACCTGGTCAGCTTCCACGAGCTCAGTGCCACGGACAGACATCGTCAAGAAGAAATCTGCCAACAACAGCAGCCAAAGGCGCAGCAGCAAACTAGAGTGCAAACACATCTACAAATTCAGGCTCAGCAAACAGATACTGTCAAACCCTTTCCTGTGCCCAGAGTTTCTACAGAAGAGGGCACAACCGCGGTGACTCTGGAGAACAAATCAAGAGCATTTCAAGATGGTGCTTATGAGGTCAATCAGACCAGTGTTGAATCGAAGCACTTTCAGAGCAACATGATGCAATTTGATGCAGAATACCACTAATGCGCCTTAGTTTTTTTGGCCCATTTGTGATAGTTTTTCGGTTGAGTAGAATTAATGCCAGTAGTTTCTGGCAATGATAAACTCCTAAGGGAGTCAAGCGTGATCTTTCCAAGAAAGACCAAGATGTGGCGAAGAGATTAAGAGATTGTGCAGTAATAGAAAATAGAAGAAATTGTTAAAATTTTTAATGTACAGAAAATTGCATAACATTGTCGATAAGTGGATAGTTCTTTTTAAATTTAATTTCAAAAGAACATAAATTAAAAAAGAAACATTTATGCTTTTATTTGAATAGAAACTTTATATTCATTTATATTTGTAACGAGTAATTGAAACACAAATGAGTATTTAAAACATTGTTTAATGGATACATTAAAAATTTCAATTCTGTCGTTTTCTTTTATGTCTTCAGACACAGAATAATATTATTTAAAAATGAAAATTCTTTAGTTTTGCAATCAAGAAACTATAATTTCTTTATGTAGAAATCATTCGAAAACCTATTGAAATTCTGTTTCCTCGTTTTTATGTTTTTATATTCTCTGGAATTTTAATAGTTTCTTACCCTTATAATTGAAAGCAATTATATTGTATGAAAATATTATAATTATTTTAAAGGTGACTTTTCGTTTATTAAGATTGTATATTCCGAAGACATAAAAGATGTAACCGACTACTAAAATTATTATTTTAAAAATCTATGCAGCACTTTTCTCAAAAGATTAATCTCTTGGCAGCATCTTACAGTAACTGATAAAATAGATGTCCTTGAAGGACAACTCGCAAAAGGTGCCGTGCCTATTCGTCGTAAGGAAAAGCGAGCGTATTCCTTAAAAAAACCACGAAACAAACTACAAACAATTGCCGCAAGTGGAGCAGCCATCCCACCTCGTACTGATTATTCCGCGAGCCAGGATAACTTGTTGTTTTATTTGATGCTATACAGTGTTATATAAACTACAGATATTTACAACGATATTATATTCTTACAGAGGATTATATTTACTTTATTGATTACGTCACACGACTGGGTGCAACGCACAGAAACTCCCAGGATGACGTACGAACATATTATAATATATTTTTCACCACGTAGCAGTTTAACGGTGCGATAGACAGCCAACCGATTTTACAGCTCAAGCAGATTTACAGAGGATTTATTATTGACAGTTATCGATGGGAAACCACCGTGATGCAGCAGATTGAATTTAATATATTATAAGAGGCTTGTGTCCGAGATGGCTTTTCTTACATGGAATTCTTAAGTGGAATTCTTTT